CCTCCTCCTCATCCTCCTCCTCCTCCGTCTCCTCCTCCTCCTCCTCCTCTTTCAACCTCCTCCTCCTGCTACTGCTCCTCCGATGCCTGCCCCATCCTCCCCCTCTTGGGGCATGACGTCTTAAGCAGCCCTGTATTCCACTGCATGCCCCTCCACCTCCCCATTCAGGGCAACTCGTCAGGGCATCGTTTCTCGATGGGTTGGTGGGGATTTGTTTTACAGCCGCGGGCGGAAGCGCCAGCGGCGGCGAGTAACGGTCGGGCTGCGGCCGAAACTAAGTGGCCGGACGCGCGCGCGGGCCGCGGCTGGCGCCGGGGCGGCGGGTGCAAGGGTGCTGCAACCCTGGGTGTCTGACGCCCAGGGACCTGCACCCAAGGAGTCTGTAACTACGCTGCCAAAGTGGCGCGATGCAAATAGCCCCAAGGTGTCTGAAGCCATGGCCAAGCAGTACGCCGCTTGGGTACACTATCTGAACAGTATGGAGTCAGCAAACCCCGGCGCAACGAATGGCGTACCATAGGGTCCCAGAATTCTGAACCATGCTCAAGCAGAAGCGTCCGAGAGACGCGCAAACTGTCGCCTGACTGCATACCGTAGGGAGAGGTAGGACTCTGACAGCGCCAGCGAACCGTCGCAGCTTCAGAGTACGCACCAACGCAGCCAAAATGGCGCGAAATTCGTGGTGTCGGTGACCGAACAAGGCACGTCAGGCCCGGGAAGACAACCTCGAACAGAGATGCGTTCGCAAGCGAGCCATCAGGTAACATGATGTGACGCTATGCGGAAGGTACAACTGTCCCAATCTTCTACCAGGTTCAAGTCGCAGGCGACTAGCAACCAAAGATAAGAGCAGGAACGCGTACCGGGGAACATCTAACGTGACAAGCATACACAGAGCCACGCCTATCCTTGGTACCCTGGCGTGCCAGAGTGAAGTGTAAGAAGATGGCGCTCTGGGAAAGCTGTGCTGCCGCTTACCAGCTGCAGCCGAAGCAACAGCCAGTGGTCACGAAGAAGCCCAGGGAGCTAAGGGCCGCTCATCCAGGTAGAGCGGGGGAGCGACGATGGGATGATGCCAGTCCGGGCAACAGGAACTGGCGGCCAACAAAGGAAGCAGGCGTACGCACTGGGCACAGGTATAGGCTCAGTCCGCTGACCACCCGCGGCAACACTGTGGCCGGTGCGCGCAAGTGGGTGCGCAACTGCGCCCCTGCGTCCGGGCGCGGCAACAACGTCCTTACGGGTGGGCACACCACGCCACCGTGCCGGAGGCGTGCCTCAACGGCTCAGAAGTGCACCATCTGGCCATGCGTTCGAAACCCGCTGTCGGGACGCCACCCGCCCAAGGTCGCTCCCAGGGAATAGCAGAGAAGAGCAGCTGAAGGCCGCTGTACCTTAAAGAAACCCAGGGAGTGAGAGTGCGGTTCTGGACAGTGACGAGGCGAAGCCATCTTTGCGTCGGTCACAGAGCCGCGAGGCCGGGGGACGAAGTCCGACAGGGACAGAGGTGAAAACAACTACAGCGGGGCCTGGGGCCAACT